GATTCAAGGTTATGATTATTAAAAAAAACCCTAAATAACAAAAATAAATAAATTCATTCTTAAGTCAAAGTAAACTGCATAACTCTATTTCTCTTTTGAGCATGGAGGCACAGCTTGAGTATTAAAATATGTTGAGTAGGGCCCGGGATTTAGCTCAGGGGTTTTGCCGCCTGCTGCACAAGTGCAAGGACCTGAGTTTGATCCCCGGTACCTAAATAAATAAATAAATAAATAATAAAATATGTTGAGTAGATTTTCCCCTTATAAGGATGCAGTGCAATATTCTTTTTACATAAAATATATTCTTGGTGCTGCCATATCAAAATTGCTTGGTACATGACACTGCTTACTGTCTAGGAGTCTCTGCCTTCTGCTGATCTATAGGTAATAGATGATGCCTCCGGAATACACTTCCCTAAAACCATATTCGGATATGCTATGGGTGCACATCACCAGTCATCTGAAGGCAAAGCGGCATGTGATTGACTGTAGTTACAGGAAATGCAAATTTGATCTGGTGTATGACATGCTGAAAGCTCTCTTTCACTGCTGATGTTATACAAATAGTTTACTGTTCAAACAGCATTTTGGACAGTCCCTTTGCTGGATGGTCTAAGTTAATATAGCTGTAGACATACTGGTAGGTCGTGGTTGTCATATGTACCCTCTGACAAAACTGCCCCATGTCCCTGAGGCTAATGCCTTTGAGAGGGGTAGGATATTCCTTTATATGAGTGTTTGTCTTAATTAAAGTTAATTTTTCCGCAAGAATGACTCAGACACTTAATTATTTCATTGGCTAACATTTTACTATTGGTCTTCTGATTTCTTTTTTTCACTGGAACTTTACAACTGAGCTCTGTGGGGTGTTTTAAAGTGAATAGGCTCTTAATCAGCTATTATAAGGTGTGAATTCCAATTTCAAGTACTAGTTGTGATGATCTGGGCTGAGAACTTAACATCTCTAGCCCACATTTATGGAGTCTTTCCAAAGGTTAAGTCAATGTACATGAAATTCTCAGAACAATGCCCTGCTCAAACAATGATGTTCTTAATAAACCTACTAGGTGTGTGAGCTATCAGGAGGTTGAAGCAAACATGAAGGAGAAAAACAAATAAGTTAAATCAGACCCTTGCCTAAGGCCATACAGTTGCAGGACTGGAGTCAGACCAGTTATTCTCATTTCAGTCTTTTTTATGATAGATTGCTCTGCTTTCTTTTTTTTTTTTAATTCTTTTATTGGTACATTTTAGGTATACAATACTTTTACATTTATCATTGGGTGCTTGTACCTGTACATGATGTATCTTAGTTCTTATTTTCCCCCTATTACCTGTGTGCTCTTCATCCCCTCCACCTTTCCCTATTTACACAGATTTCATTTCCATTTGTTTTTTTCTTTTCTCATAATTTTTCCTTTCCCTTCTTCCCTTTCCCCTTCCCCTCCCACCACCACTACACCTTTGGACCTTTTCCTATTTCAAATTATCAATTATTCATTTTAATCATTTTAATCCTTATTTACACGTTCAGTTTCTCACACTAGAGAAACTATTCAGTATCTACACATGTGTGTCCTATTCATTTCATTTAAGAGGATGGCCTCAATATGCATTCATTTAGCTATAAATGTCTCTAGTTTCTCGTTCTTTATGGCTGAGTAGTACTCCATATTATTAAAAAACCACATCTTTATCCATTTTCCAGTTGATGGGCACTTGGGCTGTTTCCAAGCTTTAGCTATTACAAACTGTGCCACTATAAACATGGGTGCACATATATCGCTGTGGTATGATTCTTTTAATTCTTTGGGGAAGATACCCAGCAGCGGAATAGCTGGGTCAAATGGGACCTCCAGCCCTATTTCTTTGAGGTATCTCCATACTGATTTCCACAGTGGTTGGACCAGTCTGCACTCCCACCAATAATGGAGAAGGGTTCTTTTCTCTCCACAACCCCACCAGCATTTGTTATTGGTTGATTTCTTTCTTTTTTTTTTTCTGGTTGATTTCTTGATAGCAGCCATCCTTTGTGGGATGAGGTGGAATCTTAGTGTTGTTTTCATCTGCATCTCTCGAATGTTGAAAATTTTTTCATATATTTATTTGCTGCTTTTACTTCTTTGTTTGAGAAATGTCTGCTCATCTCAGATGCCCATTTTTGAATTGGGTCTTTGAATTTGAGGGGTCTGATTTTTTTCAGTTCTTTATATATTCTCGATAGTAGTCCTTTGTCTGAGGCACAGCTGCTAAAAATTTTTTCTCACATTGTAGGCTGTCTCTTAGCTCTGTTGGTAGTTTCTCTTGCAGTCCAGAAGCTTTTTAATAAGATGAGATCCCAGTTGTTGATTCTTTGTGCTAGCTCCCGTGCTACTGAGGATTTGTTCATAAAGTCTTTTCCTATGCCAATGTCTTCAAGAGTTCTACCTAACTTATCTTCCAGCAAGTTTAGTGTTTCTGCCTTAATATTTAGATCTTTAATCCACTTCGATCTTAGTTTAGTGCATGGTGATAGGTATGGGTCTAGTTTTAATCTTTGGCAGGTTGAAATCCAGTTTTTCCAACACCATTTATTAAAGAGGCTATCTTTCCTCCAATGAGGGTGATTGGCTCCTTTGTCAAAGATGAGGTGGCTGAGGATGTCTGGAGTTGTTTCTGTGCTTTGCTTCCTTAATTAAACACATATGTGTGTCTTCAGCAGCTGACTTTTAAATGTGATGTTTTGTCAACAAATGTAATTATTGGGCATATACATTGCATAAGACATAGTAGCGAGGCAATGCAGCTATAATAACAGGGCTCATCTACAACTACAAACTCTGGTATGTATGTCCATGCACCAACACACATGGTCATACGCAAGTGTGCATATGCAGTCAGAGTGTACCCTCTTTCAAAGGAAACCCTAGAGTCTGCATGTATCTTGCTTCAGGTTATGACTTTGTCAGAAGTTGAGCATTTACTTAGAAACTCTGCTGCCTTGTTTATCCCCCCCAAACAAATATAATAATAATAATAATAATATCTTACCTGTAGTGTTATTAAGATTAATAAAGATACTGCATGAAATGTCCTTAGCACAGAGTCTGGCACTAATAAAATTTTAATATTTGCTAGCTAATTGCCTTATTTTCTTTATAGCTCTATGATTATCTGTCCTGGTCTTTCTTTTTGTGTTTCCCCATACTGGATCTATGCCCCACAGAGGAGAGCACCTGCAACAGTTTTGAACACAAAGCAAGAATCCCTGTAAGAGCCTGTAAGTAAATTAATGACTGAAAATAATTTAATAGCACTGGAAAAATGAAAGAGATAAACCTATATGAACAAAAATGGAGGAAGTAAGTTGCACTACCAATTTCTCACATGAAATTCTGTGTTCATATATTAAAAAGGAACACCTGCCCAGAGAGAATCAGCTGAAGAAATTATAACTAATTTCATTTCCTTTTTTTTTTTTTTCCCTTTTCCCTGTACTGGGAATTGAACTCAGGGCCTTGTGCTTGAGAAGCAGGCACTGCGCTACTGAGCTACATCCCCAGCCCTCATAACTAATTTTGGTAGAGCAAAGGCAGTTTAGTGAGTGCCTTTCTCTCTACTTACTGCAAGTTGGTATAACTTGTCAATACACGTCTTTGTTCTGATTTCAGGCCAACTTCCATTCCCCTAACTTTAGTGGCAGTCACAGGCCTGTCACTGAGATCCCGTAGTGTCGCAGTTCCCAATGTTCTTGTTCCACTCCAATACTGGAGTTCAGAGTTTCAATTCACCAAATTCAGTGCAGATGCCTTCAAAGACTGATGTCCTGTATGTCCGCAGGATTCTTTCACACACTTATGGACATTAAATGATTAATATCAAAAGTAATTACCATAGTACTGGCACATAGCAACAACTCTATAAATTGTTATTATCATCCATTCATTCAATGGGATTTATTGAGTACCAATTATGTGCCTATAGCTATTGTACGATATGAGTAAAAAAGAACTAAATAGACTGAATTTGTGAGATAACCAGGCAGGCAGTCTTTGGTTGCATATCTCTGAGGTAAATCTAGGCTTGTGTGGGCTCCTAATGCAGGGTTCCGAAGGAGTATAAAGCTGGGCCTGAGTCACTGAGTGAGATATAAGCCCGGAGTTTGCTATGTGATGGACAGTGCATTCATTCAGAGTATCCTGCAAGGTAAAAATATAGGGTAGTCTACACATCTATGATGTGGAGTTCAATTGTGTGTAAGGCAAATTAAAGTTGGATAAAAATCAAAATCTTGAATGGCATATATGAAGTAAGAATGGGTTTACCTGAGTCAGTTATAGGCTTCTGTGACTGTAAGGTTAGATGGTCTTCCCTCCGTGTGTGTGTGTGTGTGTGTGTGTGTGTGTGTGTGTGTGTGTGTGATGTGTAACCCAATTCAGTTTATATATGGAGGTACAGGTTTATGAGGCAGACCTCGTAACTGGGTGAACTGACAATTCGAAGGTGAGGACTAGGTAATCTAGAGTTATGCGCAGCACTGTGAGTCTGTGGAGAGTCTAACTTGTTTGTGTTAGTCATAAATCGGGACTTTGTGAAGAACATACCTGGATCCATTCATTTTTTGTGCCCTAGAGAGTCAGAGACTTGTTTCAGAGGCCCACGAAAGAGTCTGCGTGAGTAAATCAGACAAAGCGTGCATCAGTGAGTGGAGTTTCTGAGGGCGAACACTTCAAAGACGATGGAGCTGCTCCCGGGGCGTGGGACAAGTTGGGAGCGCGTGGCGCGGGCGGCAGTGTGCGTGTGCGTGTGCGTGTGCGCGCGCGCCAAGTTCGCTTTCCGTGAGCGATGGGCACCGGCGATGCGTCAGCCCGGGAGGCCGCGGCGGGGTTGGGGGTGCCGGAGGGGGTGCGGCTGTCGGTTTCCTCCCGGCGGGCGGGCGCCAGAGAGCTCCAGGCCCCGCGCCGCCGCGCGCTCGCGGGCTGCTGGGTGGCAGGGGCCGGGCGGGAGCCGGAACAGCACTGCCGCCTCTGGCGCGAAGGCTCAGCGCCTCCTCCCGCCCCAGTCACTGTGGCTCGGCGCGCGCTGCCGGCGGCTGCCCTTTCCGCCTCTGGAGAAGAAAACTCGCCGGCTTCTGACGCGCTTGCAGCATGGCTTCGGGCCGGAGGGGCTGGGACACTTCCCACGAGGACGATCTGCCCGTGTACCTGGCCAGACCGGGCACCACCGACCAGGTCCCGCGGCAGAAGTACGGCGGCATGTTCTGCAATGTGGAGGGAGCTTTCGAGAGCAAGACGCTGGATTTCGATGCCCTGAGCGTGGGGCAGCGTGGCGCAAAGACCCCGCGGAGCAGCCAGGGCGGCGTCCGCGCTTCGGGGAGCCGGCCCGCGGTGGAGGGGGATACCCCGCACCGGGGCCAAGGCCGGGAGGACAGCGGGGAGCCTGCTCCCGCCTCGCCCGCTCCCGCCGCAGTGGAGATCCGGAGCGCCACGGGCAAGGAGGTGTTGCAGAACCTCGGTCCCAAGGACAAGGTAAGGGGACCCAGATCTCTTCTCCGCCTGTTCGAGTCCCCTTTCCCGGTCCTGTTCGCCATAGTCGGGGCACAACTTTCTCTAGCTCACTTGGCATGGGGTTGGGGGACTAGGAGGAGGAAAAAGACATCTTTCACTGAGTGAGTGTAGTATGACCTCCCAGCCCTGGCTCCACGCGTGTCCCCAATTACAGCATCTTCATGTCCATGCTGTAAAGGTCCCAGCCCCCTCCCCACCTGTGCCCCCCCCGCCATCTCCCCCTGGGCCATTCTTTCTGAGTGGGTGTGTCAGCTCAGCCAGCCTAGGAAGCCTTATTGATTTCCTGACTTTCTCTCCATCTGAGAACCAGCAACACAATTGTCTTGGCCTTTTCTGGCCCTGGATTAAATCTCAACCTAGGCCACCAGGGCAGAGGGCAAACTGATGCTAGCAAAATGGGGTCATCTCCATGGTGCTGGGATAAAAGTACAGGATGGGCCGTCTCCCCTCTCTTCAGACATCGGCTGTGCTCCTGAAACTTTGAGGTGTGGGGCCACTAGACTAAACACCCCAATCTCTGTCCCTCGCTTCTATCCTAGCATATTTCACACCTGTGTTTGTAAGAGTATGTTTGTGTACATAACTTGGCACAAGACCTGGTATCACAGGGATCCAGCTGTCTCTGCAAGAATATTATTATAAGATTTTAAATAGACCGTGTATTAAGGGTGCACATTAAACTCACACGAGCTGCACATTCCCTGCTGTTCTTACTTGTGCCAAAGCCAATTTCTTCCGAGTGCGTATTTTAGAGAAACTTATGCCACACTGAATTGGTGGAAGGGATGGCATTGAAATCCAGCTTGCCCTGATGTTTGTGTTTATTTTACTTCATAGAAAATCACAGCCCTAGTTTATAAATTCAACCTGGGCAAGGCTGTAGGATTCAAAGTTCAAACTGATGCTTTTGAGTTGGGGAACAATAGTAATCAGATGCCCTCACCCTGGTCTAGTAATGGCTGCAAAATCCATCTGCATATATTATTCTGCACTAATACCATCATGAATAATAACCTGAAATGGAAATGTCTGCTTCAGAACAATTACAGCTAATGCTTACCCATGTCTTAGTTGTTTTTCCACTAAAAAGCAATGAGCTAGTGAAAGGACAGCAAATCTCCCTTGTTTGATTTTCAAAAGTTAAAAAAAAAACCCCAAAACTTTCAACTACCAATACCACCAGGGAAAGCAAGTACTGAAGTTAGTGCTGTTTAAAGGTGCTGTTTGTAAAATAATGTCAGTGTCCCTTGGAATCATTCATTTAATTTGTGATTTTCACATCCTCTATTCAATGTGGTATTCCTTTAGGACGTCTAAGCCTTGCCTGTATGCCCTTTTAGGGAAGACTTCTGATATTTTGGAAAAGCTTTGGCTGATTTCTGAGCTGAAGAATAGCCCTATATAGAAAGGCTATTGCTTTTTTTCAGATCTGACTTGATCAGTATTGAAATGTTCCCTTCCTGGCTCTGAGGGGTGGGAGAAGTGATGGAAAAGGTCAGTAACAATTGCTATGAGTCAATGTATTCCCTTTGCTGGAACACCCCTGATGTAAGCCAGATAATATGCTTGGTTTGCAAGACTGAAGAATGGTAACTAGAGAAAGGAAAAAATGTTCCTCCTCTAAACCCAGCAATTCTCCCCGTTTCCCTCCCTTTCACAAACCCTATACTTTTGGTTCCTAATTGAAAAATAATAATACAACCTAAGCATCACTAGGATTTCTAGTGCTACATGGTTATTTGTAAGTTCAGGCTTGCTTTCAGTTTCAGCCAGGCCATGTTATTATCTCTATTTTGGCTGAATCACACTGTTTAAAAAAAAAATCCTATAGCAGTTATCTAGTTCTATAGTTTATGGCTATTTTCCTGGGGATAAAGATTGTAGGTTTATATTTATCCTTGTGGCTGGATTGCCTGATATATTGGAGGTATTCAATAAAAATTGGATACTTCACATTCCCTTAATTAAGCCATTTGTTTTGCTACATGGATGCAAAATGATCATATCACCTTTGCTTAAACATTGCCATTGTCAAGAAGCTCACTATCTCATGAAGCAACTTTAAGGCAACTTTTCTTTAAAAAAAAATTAAGTCCACATCTGCCCACTTGTTTCTATAATTTACTCTTAGTTCTGTTCTCTGGAAATAGAATACTAAATAAGTTTCCTGATACTGAGATATTTTAGTGATTTCAAGTGGACAGGCTCTTGTGTCTGCTTGAAAAGGTTGAGTGATGCCACAGTAACAAACGTCCCTAAACCTCAGTAGTTGAGCAGATGGTAACAGTCTATTTCTTACTTCTGTAACTTGTCCAACAAAGGTCAGATTTGTCCATCATTGTCCATTGGAGACCTAAATTGATGGGGACTCCAGCCCTGCACATCTGTGGTGGGAAGATTATGTGGAAAGTTATATGCACGTCTGAAGCAATGTAAGTGAATGTGATGTAAGCTCACATTTCATTAGCTGAGGCAAATCATGTGCCCATACCCAACTTTAGAGGAAGTGGGGGAGGGCAATCTCACCACCATCTTGGAAGACTGGAAATAGTTGACAGATAGCTCTAATATCTCTCCCAGCTCTGAAGATGAACACTGGGGAAGAGAGCTGGCCCTGAGTTACGTGACTATAGTAGACATGTAACTTAGCTCCCTTGTGCCTCAGTCCTCTCATCTGCAAAACAGGGAGAACAGTGACTACTTTGAACATAACAAGTACTCAGTATGTATGTATAAGTTATCACTATTACTTTAGCTGCCTTTTTACTGACCTTTATATGTTTGAGGTAAGTTTTCACATTCTCACTAAATTTCTCTGTGTTAGCATTAGTACTCCCAGCTTCTTCAACTCTCTCTTGTATGAGCATTTTGCCATTTTGGCTTCCTTTTCAGGCTGTTCTGTGTAACCATTCTTCTGAAAACACAATGCCTAGAACTGAACATGGTGCTCCAGACAGAATATGGTGTCATCAAAGTGCATTAGGTTGCTTAATTTTCTGAATTTAGGCCCAAAATATGCTTGTGTTGTACAGGATTATACCTGATCGTTAAGAACCTGTGTCCTACTATTGTTTCCGTAGTAAGCTCCCTGTCATTTAAGCTTTCAGAAACTTTTTTTACATAGCTGCTGTTAAGCCAGAATGGCCCCATATTATGGTGGTACAAATGAATTTAAAACAAAATCAAAATTTAAGAAAAAACCTTAATTATAGAATTTTATTTTCCTTCCCTCTTTATTCATCACTGTCTTAGCTCATGTTTCTAGTCTGTCATGCTTTTGAATCTTAATTCTGTGATGTAGTACTCCTGTCCCCAGCTTTGAACAACCTCCAGAATTGATAGGAATTACCACTTTATGAACACTTTCTCTATGCTTTATGTGTGTGTGTATATATATATACACATCCCCTTCACAGAAAATAATTGTACAGGTAAGGATATTGGTATCCAGAGATGAAACATTCAGTCCTACATCACATGGGTAGCAGCTGTGGGGATCCAGAATATAAACTCATTTTTCTGATTCTGGTGTCCATTACTTTTTGCAGACAGAGAGGCTGTTTCATTATTTCTATTCAACCAGTCTCACCATGGTGTCAGCTCCTGACATGTTAATATAATGCAGGGCAAGGGCAGATCTTTCCACTAAGTCTTGAAACTTTGTTCCATCTTGCTACCATCCCATTACTCAGGGAAGCTTTGAGACTAGCTGCTGAACCTGTGAGCACAGTTGCTGCAAAAAGTCTTCTTCTTGCAAGTTGATCATGAAGCTATCAAGAGACTTTTAAAAAATAAAATGTCTCAATAAAATCAAAATAAACTTTATATCTGATATATTTGTTACTTTTAAGTAAATTATTTTATTTAGAACATTTTGAAGGGGTTAAGTAACAAGTGTTTGGCAGAATAAAAGTGTCTCCAAGTTATACTCTGAATGTCCAATTCCAGGTTTAAGGTAACACTAGGAGCTAATACTGTGGTTCTGGGCCTACTGGTAAACATCTTCTTAAATAATGTATTTAGATTTTTCTCATGATAGGCATTCATTTCACCAAAGTTCTCCACAACTCATATAGTGGCTCATATAGTGTTTTGTTTATAATTTTTTACATTAAGTACATAGGCACAAGTCTAAGCAAAAAGTATTTTTCATCATTTCACAGGATGCTTTTCCAAATGCACGCAGTTTTCCTAGCAGCAAAAAATTTACTAACAGAATTATGATATATAGTTTGCCAAGAGAAAAATGATACTGCAAAAACGTTGTCATTTAGTGACGACAACATATGGGTCATTTCTAGTTCCCTCCTGCCTGTGTGGTTCACTTTTGTTTCCTTTGTGAAGTCAGCAGGGGCTCTGAGTATATATAGAGAGAGAGATTTTGAAACAAAAAGATGTGGCTCTTACCATTTTATCATTTGTTATTTGTCTTTTTTGTCCTGGGCTAAAAGTTTTCAAGATGACTGAGATATTGCCTGCTCAATGGAAAACTGCTGGAAATAGAATTGTAGGTTTATAAAGGCCTTCAGAGTCATCAGAATTTAAGCCCTGCAATGTAAGTGAGTTTTACAAGGCTGCTGTGACAAAGGAAAGTTTGTATGTTGGTTAAGAAAAAAATCTTTTGCTTACCTGGCTCACAGGCCATATTTGAGTATGGGAGTATATTTCTTTACCCAAACTTGGAAGTGTTTGAATCCTTTCAAAACTTTGGTTTAGTTTGACAGTAAGCATTTGAGGAGCATAAAAACGAGCCTTTTAAATAATGCGGCGATTGGCAGAGTTCCCTCAGAATAATGGTCCCTGGAGACAGAGTTTTGCTGACGGCTCTTGTAATTGTAAGGCAGCCAGAGTGCTGTCTGTGGTAATTTCTCTCAGTGACTCCTATAACTGATTCTCTTTATGATTAATTTCCACTGGGCATTATCCCCACAGTAATGTTCCTGTGAGACAGTGGGTAAAGC